GTGATTGGGAGGAACGGCTTGCCCGATCTGAACCCGAATGGTGTCTCGTTGTTGGACTTCTGTGCTTGCCACGGTTTGGCCATAACGAACACCATGTTCGAACATCAGGTGGCTCATAAGTGTACCTGGTACCAGAACACCTTAGGCCGGAGATCAATGATCGACTTTGTAATCGTATCATTTGATCTGCGGCCGTATGTCTTGGACACTCGGGTGAAGAGAGGAGCAGAGCTGTCAACTGATCACCACCTGGTGGTGAGTTGGATCAGATGGCAGGGGAACCGGTTGGACAGACCCGGCAAGCCCAAACGTGTAGTGAGGGTGAACTGGGAACGTCTGGCGGAGGACCCTGTCCGGGAGGTCTTTAACTCCCACCTCCGGAAGAACTTCTCTCACATCCCGAGGGAGGTTGGGGACACGGAATCCGAATGGACCATATTCAAAGCCTCTATTTTGGACGCGGCCGCTAGGATCTGTGGCCGCAAGGATGTTTCCATTTATTACCACTGATAAAATAAAGATATCACCACTGAAGGTCTGTGTGACAAAACAACAGGTCTGATAGAGACTGTAGTCTGAAGGTGGTGATTAGTAAACAACTCTTCACTTCTTAAAAGTAAATATGAGTCTATCTATTGATGTAGATTGTGTACATGAGAAAACAAATGATGAATTCAGTTTAAACTTTATTGATCTCTGTCTGTCAGATATTTGCAGCAGCAAACAGTAACAGGAAATAAAGGGTGAAAGAAGAGTAGAGCAGAATATTGAGGTTAACATTCAGTAAAACTGAAAAGTAAAACCTGAGTCTTCAGAGCTGCTTTAACTTCCTGTCTGTTCAACTGAACTTCCTGCTTGATTATCTCTTTGGCCCCATTCAACTATTTTAAGTAACAAGACTTCAAAGAATTGATGATGTGTGTTTGATAGAAACACTTTAAACTCTAACATACGATGCTACCAGTGATCATCAGTCAATCAGCCCTCTGCTCATCAGGTTATGTAACGTGGAAACATGATATTGGAGAATTTTAAGGTTTCAATAGAAGAACACAAGTTCAATGTTTTAACTTGATGATTTTCAAAGTAAAGTATGAACTAATATTTAATCATGTTTGTAAGAATAAAATGATTTTGATCTTTCTTTGCTTCCATAATAAAGGGGTTAACAAGTGTTGTATTGTTTCATGGTGTACACAGACTCAGCAGGTAGAGCGGGTCCTCCACTGATCGCAGGGTCGGGGGTTCGATTCCCGGCTCCTCCTCTCTTTGATTACAGCAAATAAAAACACTGGAAGAAGTTGAACTAAAGCAAAGTTAGTGAGAAATCTAGTTTAGTTCACTGGAGATTCTTATACAAAGATGTTCAAACTGTTTTGTGTGAAAGGTCGTCGTAGAGAAGGGAGAGTGGAGATAGTCTGTAGTTGTTGGGATGTCAGAGTCAAAGCCAGGCTTTGGTGAGACAGAGACTGAATATTTGTAACTTGGCGGCTGCGGTGCACTCGATCACGTGACCATCACAAATAGTTGACTGATAAAAGCATAATTTACATGTCTGGGGATTTTATAAATAAGAACAATTCACTGTTAGATGCTTTAGAAACAGGAGGTCTTAAAAATCTACATTACATTACAGTCATTTAGCAGACGCTTTTATCCAAAGCGACTTACAATTCAGATTCTATCACATTTCTATACCGTAGGCACAACTACGGGAGCAATTTTGGGGTTATGTGCCTTGCTCAAGGACACATCGACATGTGACTAGCAGAGCAGGGGATTGAACCGCCGACGCTCTGATTGAAAGACGGCCCTGCTATCTATCCACTTAGCCACAGTCGCCCACAAAATCTACATTTCAGTAAATATTTTGCAGCCAAATCAAATTGTTCACAGAATATCCAACTTTAGTTTCTTCACAATGCTTTTAATACTTGACTTGTTTCTTTACAGCACACGTGTCAAACCCGAATCCGGCCCGCCACATCATTTTATGTGGCCTGCGAATCCGCCAGCAAAAACAAAAAAAAAAATCTTTTTTTTTTTGTTTTTTAATTTTGGAAAAGAAATTAAAGGTTAGACTTGAAAATAAAAGTATCCCCATGGTCGAAATTATGAGATAGAAAGTTGAAATTATGAGACAGCATGTTGTCTGTGTACCGACATTAAAACTATCACAACAGGTGGACAGGAGAGGGAACAGCCTGTAAAGAGGTTTTCCAACAAGTGACTGAGTTGAAAAAGATCAACAAATAATCCCAAAATGTCCACGAAGAGAAAAATTTATGCAGAGGGAAGAAAATGTAATTTAAGATGGGAAAGAGAATACATGTGTGTGCTTCAAGGAGAAAAAAACTGGTCTGTCTTCTGTGTTATGAAGCAGTGTCGGTGATGAAGGATATAATTCACGTCGGCATTTTGACACCAAACACTGAGCTACATTTAGCCTCCAAGAAAAACATAAAATTGTTCAAGAATTAAAGGCAGAGTGCAATCACAGCAGAATATATTTACAGAAGCTACAGCCCAGTGCACGCTAAAGGTATGTGAGCAGGTGAGCTCCGATCAGATACAGACTTTTACAAATGTCAGTTTGTGAAGAAACGCCATCGCAGACCGAGTTCAGGAACTAGCAGCAATCTAACAACACAGCTAGCTCAGAGACGAGCAGGAACTCGTCTTCTTCATTAGCTGTTGATGAAAGCACAGACAACACGGATACATCATACATCATCTATCCATGTTTATAAGACCTGACTCTCAGTGAGGAGCTCTCAGATGTAGCTGCCATGTGCGGGACGACGGCAGGGACATTAGTGATGCAGAGGTGACAACAATAGCTTTGAACAAAGTTAATGTAATAACTTGTGTTTGATGATATTTGTCTTTGTTATTTTCTTTAAAAGTTTGATCTTTGATAGAGTAATGTGGGTTTCTTAACCCTAAATTAAAATGATTTAAATTATAACAGAAATGTGTTTAAATATCATTTTTCATTTATATAACCATGTACAATATTTTAACACTTGAATAAACAATAATCAAATGCAGAGTTATTTAACAATGTGTTAGGAGTAGTTACATTTACAGTCTTACAGTTACAACCGGCACTTTGAGGGAAACTATGATGCTGATGTGGCCCGGAGTGAAAATAAGTTTGACACCCCTGCTTTACAGGGTTTGTACAAAGGCAATAAAGTAGTCCATAAATATGAGATATGAGTTTACAGAGAATTAAAATCATTGTGGAGGTTTGTTTATGGCTTTTGGCGAGTTACACTCGTTGTCTTTTTGTTTCTTCACAGAACATTTTGTTTGTACGCCCTCTGGTGTTTCGGACAATAATGAAGCGCAGAGAGTATCAATGAGTCCTTACATACCTGGAACTTGTGCGCTGTCTGCAGAGGCGAAGCGTGAGTATAAACAAAGCATAAAGTGGAGGTGTTGGGGTCCAGGCCGGAGTCTTCATGCCAGACAGTGATTTATTGAGATCTGAGGAGATTGGGGAGAACCGGGAGAGAGACCGACCTCTTTCACCCAGTTGGTTGTAGCTGGACTCAAGTTTTTCTTTGTAGAATGAAAGATTCGTAAGCCGATTCATGGAGGTTTGTTCAGGACGGACATCAGAGATAATGACATCACATGAAAGTGGACGTCGCACTGAATCTAAAAACACGTGTTTCATGTCTGTGTGGTCAGATTTGAATAACAACAGAGAGAAGGAATGAGCTTTTTGGCTATGACCTTGTTGAAGCACCGTTACTGTGGCCCCTCACTGTTATAAACTATAATACAGCCATAATAGAAATAATCAAAACCAAGAAAGGATTAGAAGCCGAGAAACAAAAAAAAAGCCCAAATGAAGATAGTAATAATTTAATATTTATTGTTAAAGATTAACTATCTACTTTCACAGAGTTACTGAGGCAGGCACGTTCTGACAGCAAGAGATAAAATATAAAATACTCTTCAGAAAATATTCGTTACTCATGCCGTTTGATAAAAGACAAACCAGCAGAAATTTAAGTCATTATGACCATTTTCAGCACTTTAAAAATGCAAAGTGACATTTCAACATGTAACGATCACATCACAGCACACATTAAAGTCATCAAATTCAATCTTCAGGACACTTTCACAGCTGACTTCAATTAAACTGATAACTGCTGTGAGTATTTGTGTGTTTTAATAATCTGGCTTGTTGACCAGAGGACACATTTCACCGTGACACAAAAACATATTTGGGACAAAAGAGGAAACAAACAGTTTCACACAGATCTCTGAAAGTGTTTAGATTATTATAACTTTACACAAACAGATATGAGACATTAATGGGCTTTGTGTTCAGAGACATAACACAGAGGAAAACTTGTTGTGTTCCGATATTAACCTGAAATATCTGAATTGGATGTGGGGCTGCAACTTATGATTATTTTCATTTATTTTATAAATCGATCAGTTATTCTCTCGATTAATTGTTAATTAAAGAAATCCAGTTTATTTTCATAGCAAAGTAAGAAAAGAAGGAAATGTTTAAAACTCAGAAGATGGATTCTGTTTTTAGATTTATTTATTAGCAAAAAAGCAGCGGATCATTTTTGACAAATCGATTAAATTACTAGTTGACCTCTAATCTGATTAAGATTAAAATATATTTATAGTTGAGCATCAATAGACAGTTTTCATTGGACGGCAACTAAGTAACAGTGAAGCAAACGGGCGGATCAAGTGTGCAGACGATCGTCACCACGGAGCTCCAGATTGATGGATGGAAGACTTTCTCACCACTCTGCTGCCGATTCTGCTCCATTCGTGTCCACAAGACTCCTTGTTTCATGTCACAGGAAGTCCACGTGATGTTATTGTTGGTGGTGGCGAACAGCAGGTGGAGGGAGGGAGGGAGGGGGGGGGGGGGGCTCCGACTGGACCAGCAGGCAGCAGCACCGGACTCAGCCCATGTAGGAGTAGCTCCAGTCTGTGAGGGGGACGTGGGTCTGCTTCACTACCTGCGGCGACGTCCATCTCAGGACGTAGTGTGGACCTCCGGGTTTGTCATTCGTTCCTTGATTGAGAGGAAAGTTCAGTTCATATTTATTTATTCATTCTGTAGATATTAAGAGTAAATCCAACTCTGACGTGTCCAACATGAAGCTAAACAACACATCCAGTAGAATCCTCTCCACAGACCTAATCATCAACAAGAAAACTGTCCTCATGAACCAGAAATCAAGACGTGAAATCAGTATCACAAATCTACTAATCTAACACATATAAATAAAAAACACTGACTGTGAGTTAATTTGGAATACATTTGTTAAACCCTTAAATTTTACACAAACTTCACTAATCAACTCATTCTGCCTGGTCACCATCCACAATAAAGATTCACACACACACCATCAGACCCCCCTCTAATATATCCCCATCTCTTTATTAATTATAGTTTTATTTTTTAATTTATTTAATTTATATATATATATATATATATATATATATATATATATATATATATATAAATAATTCAAATTATTCTTATCATTATTGTTGTAACAATATTTAATATTGATATTAAAAACAACTGTTACCTGAAGTTCTGGCTCCACCAAATGGCTGCTGAGCGACAACAGAGCCGGTGCATTTATCGTTCACGTAGTAGTTCCCCGCAGCGTTTCTCAAGACTTTAGCGGCCTCGTCAATCACATTCCTGCAAAACACAAAAACATTTTATGAATGAATCACGACAAACTCTGCAGCATCTTTTTTCTAAGTGGATTTATATGTTTTTTCTCCGTTATGTCCTGAACGATGAGTTAAAACTCCTGATAAAAAACATGTCCCTCTAAGACTCCTGATGAATCCTGGTCCCCGTCTTACACATGTATGTGTATGTGTGTGTGTGTAGATAAACATGTCTCACTGGTCCTGAGCGAACACTGCTCCCGTCAGAGCGTAGGGAGACGTGTTGTCTATCAGCTGCAGCACCTCTTTGTAGTCGTTCTCTGGATACACATAAACGGCGAGAACGGGCCCAAAGATCTCCTGCACGACACAAAAAACACAACGAATGTTTGTAACTTAATGTGTACGCTGCCGTGTGTGAGTGTGTGTGTGTGTGTGTGTGAGAGAAGATGAGCGGTCTGCACCTCGCTCATGATGGAGTCACGTGGGTCCGTGGTCTCGATGATGGTCGGCTCCACAAAGTAACCCTTGCTGTCGTCATAGTTCCCGCCAGCGACGATTTTCAAACCGGAGGAGGACTTGGCACGGTCGAGCCACTTCTTTATCCGAGCAAACGACTGCAGGAGGACACGGAGGAGGAAGTGCAGTGAGTATAAAACACAAAGAACACACACATTTTATTTTGAAATAACGGTAGAAGGAAGCTCCACCTTGTCGTCGATCACAGCCGATAAGAAGGTGCTGAAGTCTTCAACAGGCTGAAGGACAGAAACATCATTGATCATTGACAACGGTGATGGGTATCGATTCCCCGTATTAAACGGCACCAAAGTATTGATGAGCTTCTTTTTAACGTTCTAGTGTATCGTCACACTGTTGCATCTCTTCTGCTCTCTGTGTCGGAACTGAGCTCCTACAAGCACACGCAGTACTTTAGTAGTACTTTAGTAGTACTCACACCTCCCACAGTGGGCTGCTGTGTACTTAGTACTTTAGTAGTATCCACGTCTAATACTGTGAGCTGCCGGTGAACGTAGTACTTTAGTAGTATCCACGTCTAATACTGTGAGCTGCCGGTGAACGTAGTACTTTAGCAGTACCCATGTCTCCTACTGTGAGCTGCCGGTGAACGTAGTACTTTAGCAGTACCCATGTCTCCTACTGTGAGCTGCTGTTGAACGTAGTACTTTACCAGTACTTTAGTAGTACTCACGTCTCCCACAGTGAGCTGCTGTGTACTTAGTACTTTACCAGTACTTTAGTAGTACTCACGTCTCCCACAGTGAGCTGCTGTGTACTTAGTACTTTACCAGTACTTCACTAGTACTCACGTCTCCTACTGTGAGCTGCTGTTGAACGTAGTACTTTACCAGTACTTTAGTAGTACTCACGTCTCCTACTGTGAGCTGCTGTTGAACGTAGTACTTTACCAGTACTTTAGTAGTACTCACGTCTCCTACTGTGAGCTACTGTTGAACGTAGTACTTTACCAGTACTTTAGTAGTACTCACGTCTCCCACTTTGAGCTGCCGGTGAATGTCCAGCAGCTGATCCCTGATCTGCGGCCACAGGCTGTCCGGTACGTACATCCTGGAGCAGGCGGAACACTTCTGACCTCCGTACTCGAAGGCTGAACGGATCGTTCCCTTCACCACGCTCTCCACTTCCGCAGACTTGTGGACGAAGTGGAAGTTCTTCCCGCCGCACTCTGAAAGTGTGAACAGAAAACTCAGTACACATTCTCTCAACATGTGTTAAAAGGAGAAGCCAGACTCTGGCTCTGATCTGGAGTCAGTTTGACTTCAATCAGATCATCAGTGTCTTTTAAATCCCTTCTTCAAAGGTTCTTTTACAGGAAATCATCCTTCTCTGGCCGTGTTATTGTATGAACCATCACTCTCTGCTCTGTTTTCTGACTGGTTGTCTTGTTTCAGAGGTTCTGCTCACCTCCTGCCAGTCGAGGGAACGTCCTGTAGGAGTCCAGGTTCTGAGCGACCTGCTTCCAAAGACGCTTGAATGTCCTACAAAAATAACAAAACAAGAAGATATATACAGACACACATCACAGGATTAACAAAGCCATATTACAGGCAGTGTGATGTCATATTAACATTAAGTTTTAACATTTATCTTATGTGACTTTAAAGGGATATGACTGATATTTTGAAGTGTGGTTGTTTGAGGTACTTTTCCATACTCAGTGTGTTGCTACAGTATATAATACGTTCACCTCTTTACTTTGCTGTCAGATAGACCTTTCTGACGGGAAGTGATTCATTTCTTTTAGGCGTCTAAAATACGTAATAAAAGACTTGAAACAATCCGAACGATCCCTTTAAGTTGCCGTGCTGGTATTTTACGAGGCCTGAACAAGAGGAAGATACATCAATGACACACCGAGTCATATTTTAACAAGCTAAAGCAGCATGTGTTGAGGTTCATGTCTGTGCAGCAGCTCAAAGTGGCGGTGAACACAATCACTAATAAAGTTTTAAACGAATAGAGCTGGTGTTTAAGCCAAACTTTCATCCACATCTGAAAACACAACTCCTCGTAAAAGAGATCTCCTTACGGGACGCTGCCGGTGAAGTTGACGCCCGCCAGGTGCTCAGAGGAGGTGACGGCGTCTCCGAACACGGGACCGTCAGCTGGTAGGAACTGGATGATGTTTGGCGGGAGGCCGCACTCCCTCAGGACTTTGTAGACGGCGTAGCTGGCAGACATGGCGGTGTCGCTGGGCTTCCACAGCACCACGTTACCCTGAACAAAGAACAGCCGGCAACACACCTTCAGTGAGAATCTGTTTTGTATATCGATCGTCCAAAAAGATGCTGGAGGATGTCCTCTGTATTGAATGAATTCTTCCTGAGCTGAATCACAAAAGATGACATCGTCACACACTCACCATCACAGCTGGAGTTCCTGCCAGGTTTCCACCAATAGCGGTGAAGTTAAAAGGAGCCACGGCTGCTACAAACCCCTGAGGGGGAAGAAAGGTAGATAAACAGGAAGTGAATATACATTTATTTATTGTACAATAACATAAAAAGCTCTGCAAACACCCAGTCCTGACATATAATCAAATAAAACACTGATTTTGTTCCATTTAAAGAACAATAACACTGATTCTGGGTTATTTATTCAGTGACCGTAAACAAACAGTGAATAAAACATTTATTAATAAGTTCATTAATAACCTCCAGCCCACGATACAGCATGGTGTTCGTGCTTCCCTCGGCGTCGAGCGGCTGCTGTTTCTCCAGCTCGACGGCATGTTTGGCGTTAAATCTGAAGAAGTCAATCAGCTCTGCAGCGGCGTCGATCTCCGCCTGGACCACCGTCTTACCCTGCGACACAAAGACAGATAAACAATTAAATATCAATGCCTTATTCCATATAAAGGCTTTTTCCCTCACAGACGAGTGTGTTTAACGGTGCCTCGCTACATTGTTTGGGTTGCATTCAAAAGGATAAGTTTGAATTTGAGAAAGTGACGTCGGGCTGAGCCATTAATCAAATTTAAAAACAGACATCGTGATGTAATAGAACGCCGTTTTTTAAATGGTGAAACCTGCGATTTAAAGAGGAAAAAATAAACAATCGCAATATTGTCAAAAAATACGTAAAGTGTGATTATTTTCCCATGTTGTTCAGCTCTAAAGTGACGACGCCAGACCCCCAGAGAGTTTGCCCCCCCCAGTGACTCCTGTACCTGCCCGATCATGGTCTTGGCGAGGACCTCGGCTCGCTTGGGTCCAGCGATGACATCGGCGGCCTTGAAGAGGACCTGGGCTCGGTCCTGGACGGGCTTCAGGTCCCACTCTCTCCTCGCTGCCACGGACGCCAGGATGGCTCTGTTGATCAGCTCCTGTCACGTTCAGGATAGAGGCATTTATGTTTGTAATATTAACGTAACTTCAAAGTCCTACATTTGGTATAATTAAGCTTATAAAAGTTAGTTATTGGGGTTTGTTAGAATAGTTGAAACCAGTCATAAAATATGAAAATATCATGTTTACGCTACGTGAAAATAGAGCAAAGATAATGATCAATGTAGCCCAAAGGTCAGTGTGGTTCTTTGCAACATCGAGAACATCTTTTATGATAACTTACCTTGTCAGCATAACAGAACTTTGCCACTTTATGGGAGTGATTGAACGGCTTTGAAAGGAAACAAAGAAAGTCAATGAGTTATGACATTGCCAAGGAAAAATACGCTGTGTGAGCAGTGTTCTTGTTGTCCTCGTCTCTACAGTGTTCCTCAAGGTCACGCTGTCTTATTGTGGGATTTTTGGAGGGATGTTTGACCAGTTTTATGAATTTCCAATAGCGTGGTACACAGCGTCAACCAAAAAAATGCTGAAAGAACTTATGAGACATTGAGACATGGCTCTCATCATCATATACTGTCATCATAAGGTTCCGGTTGACCTGCTATCACCCCCTAAACATATCCTCTTTGGGTAAACTACATTCTTTTCTAACAGTAAACTTTAAATGAATGTATGTTTGAATAATGATGCCAGTAGTGATATATTCTGTTGACTTGTACTCACAGAGAGCTGATATCTGATGTCTTTGGTCCACACGTGTTCGTCTCCGACCACGCACGGGATCTCCTCTGTCTTCCCCTTCAGACTGTCCAAGGCCTACGGTGGGAACAACCGAGACGAAGGCACAGAAGTTATTACATTAACTCTTAAGTCCATCTTTGGGATCATTTTGGGTGAACAAACCTTCAGCAGCTCTTTTCTCTCGGCGCTCCCCTCAGTGAAACCGAGGATTGGCTCATTCTTCACCTCCACCGCCGCACAAGGGAATGTTTTGAACCTTCAAAAACACACAAAAACAAACGCAAAACTGTGTTTAATGCAACTATACAAACATTCAGTCAAACTCTGTGTACTGTCTTATATAATCCAGCAGGGAAGCAGGTTCAGCTGGGCCTCTGACCTGAATTGGCCTTAAACTGGTCATAAAGGTCTGGGCCGTGGTGGAGGATGTTGAACTCCTTTAATGAATACACGGGAGCTCCCTGAACTGGTTTTCAGCCCGACACTCTTGAATGCTGCCTCAAAACAATCCCTTTGATCCGATCCAAACAATACATTTATCCCACACCTTTCCAGTCCTGCCACACCTGTGGAAGCTGCCTTTCCTCCACCTCCAACAACCACAACATGGGAAACTGGTAACCACAAAGGAGCCAAATTTTAATTACATGAATAAAAACAAACCCAAGATCACATGAACTGCACGTTTATTTGCAGGCATGTTCCCCATTCATAGACTTTGTCCAGCCACTTGAGTTGAAGCTGTAAGAAGTTTATCAGCTTCAGCATGAACTTAAACTACATTTAGAGCTCCGGGAAACTGCTGAGATGAATCCTGAGAGACTTTAAGACATTAATGATGCAGATTTTTAAGTTTGGACTGCGATGTTATTAAGTTACGCCTGTTTGACAGGTCTGTAAATGAGTAGAAACAGGTCTGGAGTTTCTTTAACAGCTGTTATTAATAGTGGATTAAGCTGCTGGTTCGACAGATTTACATGAAATTAGTCAAAACAGGAACAATAGACTAAACTCGCTCTACAACACCTCACATGACGTGTAATCCTTTCTGCTGCTCTGCCTCTCTTTAAGCATAACATTCTCTGGTGTTAGTCTCAAAAGTGGAGATTTGCTGCTTTTCTTCATCTCATGTGATAATAAAGTGAATATATTTGGGTTTTTAGAGTGTTAGTCAGACAAAACAATGGATTTAAAAGATGTCGAGTCGAGCTTTAGGGACTTAATTTGATGAGTCACTTCAGCCCTGTTTGACTCACTTCAGTCTTCATTTTTCTGATGAACAATTTAAGTCTAGCTTCATCCAGATTCATCACAGCCTGAACTCCGGTGTCCTCTCTCTTCATGTATGATTAACTACACTGGAGTGAACTTTATAAACTGAAGTTCACAGGACGGAGGGGTGCAGACAGGCCAGCTGGAGGCATGATAGGTATTCTCATACAACCAAATCTCTCTCTGAAGCCTGAACACTGAGGGAGAAAGACAACAAACTCTTTTAACAGATGTTCCAGAAAAATCAAACATTTGTTCTTTTCCTCGGAATCAGCCGGCAGTTCTGAGAAGCAAGAGAAGAAGAAGAAGAAGTAGACTTGTATCCAAGTGTTAGTGTTACTGGTGTTACTGGTGCACCCACTGCCACATACCTCATGAGCCTTCTTTACTGGCAGATAACCAAAACCCACCACACGTGAGGCTGCCAATGTATTTGTGCGATTGTTTAGCCAGTGAGCGTCAGTATGCTGGTTAGGAGTCCTGTCCTGGTTCTAAAGGTTTATTCAGGATGTGACGTTTACAGGAAACGTGGATATTCACCCCCCAGTTAGTCTCACATAGCTACATTCATTTACACTTTGTTTTAGGGCTATGAAATAACCGGCGGCCAAAAAACACAAGAATGTTCCCTGTGAGACAGCAAATGATCTTCACATATTCTCTGCATGGGAACACAAACTGTGACGTGAATAACCGGGTTTAGATAGACTCCAAACATGTACGGTAACTTTGCATCCCTTTGTAGTCATTTTGCATCTCTTTCTGGTCGTTTTGTATCTTACTGTAAGAGTTTTGCATCTCTTTCTGGTCGTTTTGTATCTTACTGTAAGAGTTTTGCATCTCTTTCTGGTCGTTTTGTATCTTACTGTAAGAGTTTTGCATCTCTTTCTGGTCGTTTTAAATCTCTTTGTTATTGTTTTGCGTATCTTTCTTGGTAGTTTTGTGCAACTCTGTAGTCAAGTGAAAGGGCACTCCAGCTAGTTAACTAGAGAGTCAGATATTAATGGATATGGAGTAAATGCTCAAACGGTGTTATTCATATGAAGCTAAGTTTAGCTACTTTAGCTACTTTCACCTGCTGCACTCACAGATTAGAGTTTATTATCAACGTTACAGAACGTAAACCACACTAACCTGGTGGTTAACACGGTATCTCGTTAACGTCGAATCACGTGTCAGCACCGACACATTAAGAAGTATTTAAGAATAGTAACGCGTGCTGTAGTGTCTTTGAGTTCAGCATTAGCTGACAGGTCGTCAGGTCGTTGTCGAGGTGAAGGACTCTCGTGCGTTGGTACCTACCCCCTCCAAGACTGGCTCACAGCCGCCCTCACGCGCAGCATGTTTTTATCCGACAGGTGGTAAAGTACCAGTGAAAGTACTCTCTAATACTGCTGATCAGAGATCGATACCTGATCAGATACAAGTCACACAGTATTGACTAACTAAACTAGGGTGTAAAAATACGTCAGCATGACCCGCCCTACTCTGCCTCTGATTGGCTACTACACGCAGCCTTCGTTGACTGGATTGGTTAGATTTGGGGCACGAGGGATGCGATTGGTTAGGGTTAGGCTAAAAATATCAGAGTGAGCCAATCAGAGGCCGAGTAGGGCGGGTCATAGACAGGGTCGTAATATGTTATGTTATTAACGCTAACGGATGGATGTTTATTTTTGAATACCAGATTCCCGCTCATTGTTATCCAATTAATTTAATAATAAGTATTTTAACGTTTTAATGAACGTAAGGAAATACGTTTATTTTTTGTAAACGTCCTCATGCCCTTCTCTCCCCATCCTGCGAAATGGTACCTTCACGGGCGGGTCTGCGACCGGCCAATCAGCGAACGTTTAAAATGTCCTCAGCCAATCACAGGGCCACATGTCAAAGTTCTATTTCTGAGCAGCCTCTTGAACTTTCGATCTCGTCTCCACTGACTTCATTCATCACCGCCGAGTAGTTATGAATTAATTGAGACATATTCATGGAGACACACAGTGTAACACAGTCAGGATAGGAGAACAACATTATAATAATAACCTATAATAACTGGTTAAATGTATGTACACCTGCACCTTTTCCCGGATTACCTGACATTATATTCTTATCTATGTAATATTGCTGTTCTATTTATTATTATATTACCACATTTCACCTCATAATACATCTAATATCTCCCATGCTATATCACAATTTACCATTTTGCATTAATATCAGTTCTATTTATTAATTTAACTTTCTCCATTTATCTGTATTTGTGTCCTTGTTCTGTTGCTGCAACAACCGAATTCCCCCTTTTTTCATTTTTATCTTATCTCATAAAATATGTTATAGACATTATATACGTCATGAAAATGATGTGCAGTACAATGTACCATTATGTATAATATACAGCCAATAGTATTCAACTATAAAGTCGAAGGTAATGCTTTGAACAAATTGAATATCTTTTTTTTTAGGGAACCGCTCTTAGCTGGTTTGGAACATTTTCTTATTATCAATATTATTATTAGTCCTCAGGGATTTGTACTCGTTTTCTTTATATCTCCATTATTTGTAGGTCATGGAGCCAATAATTATCTGTCATGACACAGAATGACCACAACACAGAGTCGTAAACTTCTGACTGAAAGACATTTCAAAGATATATTTCAGAACATGTTTTAACCCGTGTGTTGTTGGGCTCCTGTTGCCTCACTGTTCACAGGAACTAAGACATCGGTCCAGTTTTCTTGGAAGTTAATACGGGAATGTGCATGATATTCTTTTTTTTCAGTATCAAAGTAATCCGTCTGTACAGGTACATTGCAAACAGGAGCTAATAGCTAATTGAGCACAGTTTTAATGGAGACTCTTTGACTAAATATTAACAAATATTGGTTAAAACAAGACCCAAATTTGTAGCAAATGCTCCCTTTGTCTTGTAATTTATGAAATGAATGTACTGACTCAACTGGATGAACACCTCATGAACACGCCACATGAAGTTATAAACAAGAAATATTTGGACTTCCTTTAATGATCACTTGATAATTGTGAACATGGACGGATCATGAGACAGTGGGCCCCTGGTCACCGACATGTAGAATCCTCTCTCCTCTCACATAAGAACAAGAGCCGCAGATTCAAAGAGAGACATTTTGCATCCCTTTGTAATTGTTTTGTGTCTCTTTTTGGTAGTTTTGCATCTCCTTTTTGGTCCTTTTGTATCTTACTGTAAGTGTTTTGCATCTCTGCGTGGTCATTTTAAATCTCTTTGTTATTGTTTTGTCTTCTTTTTGGTAGTTTTGTAACAAGCTCCACCTGCTTCATGTAGATAATCAATCACATCACCCATTCAATATTTATTCCTCCACTCTTTGCATTCTTCTTTTTCAAACATTTATTAAAACAAGTTCCAAGTCTGACACAACTTTACATATACAAATACATTTTGTATAACAAAAAACCCAGTTACAATACAAAGAATTCAGAGTTTTTATATTTACTGTCACATTCCTCCCAAATGATCCATAAATGTTTACAATATGTTCACTTTGCGAAGTACAATATAACAGAAGACCATCTTTCTAAATGAGAGTCCCTCCACAGTTGCAGTCTGTTGTGTTTTCCGTTCAGTTCAACACCTGAAATGGTTCCACAGAGTGCTGCAGGAATGAGTCCTCAAACCAGGAAAGGAGTCAGCATCTTCTTTCCTGTTCCCTCGCCTTAGCTTAGTGGTGACGTGAAGTCACGTGACCGAGGTGCAGTTCCTTTATAGCCTGACATTAGCTCTTTACTTTTGCTGATTGCATTCACAAATCACAAATGTGACAATCATTTCTCAAGAATATCATGCTGAACAAAAAGTGTAAGTATCATAAACAATATGGAATAATGCAAAAACTAAAGTCTCTATCAGACCTGTTGTTTTGACACACAGACCTTCAGTGGTGATATCTTCAGTTCATCTTTAGTGTTAATGAATGGAAACATCCTCTCAGTGAAAGTGTGTGTGAAGGTGTGTATGTGTGTGTTGGTATCAGGATCAGAGAACGACAGCTTTCCTCTGTTCCAGTCCAGATTCACTCTGATCCTCTGGAGCTTCTGCACTTTGAGAACAGTGAATGGAGCTGATGGTGACCGTGCTGAGTATTTATCTTCATGGAACTGTATTTCCCATAATCCAGACAGTATGAGTCCCTTCCTCTGGACAGACTCTGCTAACACACCTAGAAACCAGCCTGTACTGTCTCCTACCTCAACATCCCAGCTGTGAGTCCCTGAGTTAAATCCCTCAGAGCCCAGAACAGAGCAGTCTTCATTAAACCTCTCTGGATTATGAGGAAGCTGCTTTATCTCTCCTCCTCTCACACTGGTCAGATCTTCAGACAGGATGAGTGCTGGATGAGCACTGTTTGGGTCCAGAATCACAGGAGACTGCAGAGAGGCTCTGAAGCTCTCTGATCTCTCTCCAGTAAGAAGGACTCACACAGGTTCTTTAACGCCAGGTTACAAGGTGGATGTTTCCTCGAAGATCTTGTCTTACAAACTGGACACT